ACTAACCCACGCCCCATCACCCTTCCCCATCTACCCCCCCCCCCCCATTTTTATAGCCATGTCCATCCATTCCTTTCTCATGTCCTCATTATACCGTTAAAACTATGAATTCAAACCTAATACTTGTCAAAAGTTTAGTATGTTATTACATATAAATTCATATTCCATATCTACTACAAAAAAAAAAACAGGAATTAGCTGTTATTACACTGTATTTGTAAAATAAATTCTGGAAATATAAATGAATATAAACAATAATGAATTTAAACAGAAATGACATAAACCAATTCGAGCCCACTGAATTCACAGTGTTTCCTTAAGGAATTTAATCCCCTCCTAGTACCCAAGGTTATGGATTATTTCCTCCCAGGATAGAACGAATTACACACTGGTGTAGTGGTACTTCAAACCCCAGTGTTNTTTCCCACAGTTGTAGCAGTTTCCACTGAACCGCTTCTTGCTTGGGTTGTATTTCGGTCCAGAAGCCTTCTTTCTCTTTTTGTTCTCTTCAACAATATTTGCTCCCATTATTGTTGAATTTCCACGGCCTCTCTTTTCCGCAGCTTTGTTGTCCTCTTCGATTCTCAACCGAACAATGAGATCTTCAAGGGACATCTCCTTGCGTTTGTGTTTCAAGTAGTTTTTGAAGTCCTTCCACAAAGGAGGCAACTTCTCAATCATCGCTGCTACTTGAAATGCTTCATTGATAACAAGACCTTCAATGAAATTTCTATTAGTAAAAATACTAAGATTACTACTTTCAACATCAATATTAAATTGAGTTATACCTTCAGCAAGGAGATCGTGAATAATCACTTGCAATTCCTGGACTTGGGTAATAACAGACTTGCTATCTACCATTTTGTAGTCCAAAAACTTTGCAGCAACAAACTTTTTCAACCCGGCATCTTCGGTTTTGTATTTCTTTTCAAGCGCAGTCCACAGTTCCTTTGACGTTTCCACGCCACTGTAGACGTTATACAAACCATCCTCCAGCCCGCTTAGAATATAATTCTTGCACAAAAAATCTGATTGCTTCCATGCCTCAATTACGAGAAAGCGTTCAGTTTCTGGAGTTTCATCGGACAGCACAGGAACATCTTCCTTGATGAACTTCTGGAGACTTAGAGTAGTCAGATAGAAGAACATCTTTTGCTGCCAGCGCTTGAAATCAATCCCGAAAAATTTTCCGGGTTTCTCCGCCGGTGCCAATGCTGCCGGTGTCGTTCGGCTTGTTGACGCATTGGCAGTCACCATTGGAACCGCTTGGTTCTCATTCTCATTAGTCATTTCTGTAAAAGAATGACACAAACGTTAAAATCACGTAGATTTTAATAGAGTACAAAACCACAAAGGTTTTACTCTTCCAGAAACAGTAAGTACAAATACAGAAAATAAATTATTAAATTCCTTAAGGAAACACTGTGAATTCAGTGGGCTCGAATTGGTTTATGTCATTTCTGTTTAAATTCATTACTGTTTATATTCATTTATATTTCCAGAATTTATTTTACAAATACAGTGTAATAACATTAGCTACGAACGTCGTCGCTAATCTGTCATTAAAACGCTCGTAGCTAGCAGATTTTCTTGATAATTCGTTGCTAATTCGCCACTAAATGAGATTACCAACATATTTTCCTATTTAGCTACAGAATTTATCCGTCGCTAAAACCTGATTTTTTAGTAGTGATCAAAAGTTATGGGTTCAATTGAACTCGTAGCCGAAAGACTATCTCCGCCCTTGACTTTATGCAAATGGTCAACTTTGATGCGAGCAAAATTGCTTTAGTATGAAAGAAGGAAATTTTCAATCAAAAGAATTCCGTATAGTCCAAGAAGATATTAGGTTATTCGATTTTTACTTAGCTTAAATTTGTTTTCATCCAGAAAAGTATCAAGGAAAGTAACGTATAAATTGCACGGGCGCTCTATTTGGCCGTCCCCATTTAACTGTATTCATTTTTTAATTTTTTTTTAACTAGTACCTAAAGTTTAAACAATTTTGGGCCTTTTTCTCCTCCTCTTCCTCCTCTTCTTCTTCTTCGAATGACAGTGATTTGATATGGTATTTGTGAACATATTTTACGGTAGTTTATGATGTTTTACCATGGTGGCGCTTTAGTTCTTATTATTGCTTAGGGTTTCTTCTTCCTCTTTTTCTTAATTGCAAAATGGGCTCGTTAGATTTATTATTGTTTTGACAAATTGATGATTGAGATTTGTTCTTGATGATATTTGAAGGTTATGTTTCAAATTTGAGCTCACTTGGAGTAAATTTATGTGTTAAATCGTATATTGGATTGTTAAAATTCGAAGAACAAATTTCAATTTCCGGGCAATTTGCACTTCAGACCTAATTGGCCTTAAGTGCATGAAAACGTTGGTTGCACTTCAGATTTATTTGGCCTTAAGTGCATCTAAAGTGTAATTTTTACACTTCAGACTTCTTGGCTTTAAGTGCATGAAATCATTGGTTGCACTTTAGACCTATTTGGCCTTAAGTGCACCTGGAGTGCAATTTTTTCACTTCATACCTTTTGGCCTTAAGTCTGTGAAAACGTTGGTTGCGCTTCCAACCTATTTGGCCTTAAGTGCATCTGAAGTGTAATTTTTTAACTTCAGACTTTTTGGCCTTAAGTGTATGTAACCATTGGTTGCACTTCAGACCTATTTGGTCTTAAGTGCATCTGAAGTGCAATTTTTTACTTTTCAGACTTTTTGGCCTTAAGTGCATGAAATCGGGTTGCACTTCAAACCTATTTGGCCTTAAGTGCAACTTTTGCACTTTAGACTTAATTGGCCTCAAGTGCATTGCACTTCAAATTAAATTTTTTTTCTTACTTTCAGACCCGATAAGTCTGAAGTTGATCGTAAAGTAGATAGACTTACATTTTTTTGCAAAGTGAGTATAGCTTCAATGGTAACCCAAAATCGGGTATAGATGCAAAAGCCTCGAAAATAAGTAACAATAGTAGAAGATGATGTAGAGGCAAAGGAGACGAAGTATTGTAGGAATTTTTACATTCGTATGCCACATAGGAAACCTTATTACCCTCAATGTTTAAGGTTTGATTTAATTACACTTAGTATACCAAATTACCAATTCTATACTATAGTGTATTTTAAGGGTACAATTAATGCAGCGTATATCCCTCCTTAATTTAAGGTACCGTATATCCCACCCCTCCCACGTTTCTCTCTCCCAAACCCTCACCCTCACCCAGCAATGAATCGTCATTTTAGTAGAAGTGATAGACGAGGGACAAAAGGTGGTGCATTTACTTCTCAAAAACAAATTGATGAAAGAGAGTGCTTTCTACTAGTCAAGCAAAAGATAATAAGTTTCTTCTACCATCCAGTAATATTTCTATTCACCCACCAGTAAAAGAAACAGATTGCCCCACCCATCAACACTACAATACTCATCATCGCTTTCAGAGAGATGGCCCAACCATCAACTCCAGGACCCAAAGAGCTTCTCAGGCTAGAAAAGTACTTCACTGTGCGACCTGAGAATAGTCCAAACAAAGGATAGAATCTCTTGGCCTCGTCAACAGTCGTAATCTGCAAAAGAAATCACCCAAAACACTTAAACAGTGATTTCCCCCAAAACAAGTTTATGTAGCTTAATTGGTATTTTCGACATAATTGCGTTTTTTGCAGAAGATTTTGTAGAAGTTTTAGTCGTTTTGGATTTGTGAAAACAGAAAACAATACAAACAATACAAACAGAAAACAATACAAATAATCTACAATTCATCTATAAAATATCTACAAACTGGGTATATTGAATTTTAATATCCCAATTCCCATTCGATTGTAGTTTAATTGGGATTTTCGACATAATTGCGTTTTTTGCAGAAGATTTGTAGAAGTTTTAGTCGTTTTTGATTTGTGAAAACAAAAAACAAAGCATCTACAATTAGAATACAAATAATTTACAATTTATCTACAAAATATCTACAAACTGGGTACATTGAATTTTTATATCCCAATTCCCATTCAGTTGTAGCATAATTTGGATTTTTGACATAATTGCATTTTTTCAGAAGATTTGTAGAAGTTTTAGCCGTTTTTTATTTGTGAAAACAGAAAATAAAGCATCTACAATCAGGATACAAATAATCTACAATTTATCTACAATTTTTGCAATATGTCTTCTTCTTCTTCTTCTTCTTCGACGAGTTTCAATCTGAAATTCAGTCAAAACCAAGTCTAATCTTCACCAAAACCCCTCAAAATTGAGATATAAACTCCAAACCATATTCCCGATTATTTTCAACAACACTCAATCCAAACAAATAATGATTTTTGAAAACCCAAATTTGAATTCAAAGATTTCAAGCTTTTTAATGGTTGTCAATGGTGGAAAATATCTGGAAGAATATTTACTTCCATAATTGTAGCGCACCTAAATAGGAATATCTGAAAGAATATTTAGTTCCAGATTTGTAGCGCGCCTAATTAGGAAGGAATCAGCTCCTAATAATTGGTATTTAATGAATGGTATATATTTTGTAGAATAACTGTGAACATGGCGGGTAAATATAAAATTATGCACATTTTTGGTAATAAGGTTTCATATATGGTATAGGAAGGAAAAAGTCTCAATTTTGTAAGGTTCATTAGTAGAGTATTTTTTTACCCTGTTTTTTAGAAACTTGTACGGTCAAATATCTCTGTAATAATCTTATTTGTTTTAATTTTTTTTGGTTATTATAGCGAAGTGATGTTATGGAGAATATATATTATGATATAGCATGAAAATTGGTTCAATAAAGAACTTGACATTTATAGTGAATGACTGTTATATAGCTGTTGTTATAGAGATGTCTAATTGTATCGACTTTCGGTCTTTATATAATTCTATTACAAATATGGCTATAGCAACTGTTTTAGTATTGGTCCTTACAGCAATGCAATTTCTCTTCTCCAATGTTAACTACGTATTTAGTCGGAATTAGGGCTGTCAAATTTGGCCCAAGCCCAAATGATCCGCCCAACCCGTCCAAGGTTGGGTTGGTTATTGACTCGCCCATTTATTGAACTTAGCCCATCTTGACTCAACCCATCTCAACCCATTTAAAGTTGGGCTAATTTTTAGCCCAAATTGATCCATGAATAAGTTTGTCAAAATATCTTAGAAATAATTTTATTTTTTGTTTAATATTTTAAATATGACCATAACAAAAGCAAAAAAGCCTTATTTAGTAATTATACAATGTATAAGAAAATAACACATATTAATTAAAGTTTAATAAGAGTTGGGCGGGTCATTTGACCCCCAATTATTGACTCAACCCATTTTGACCCGCCCAAAATTGACCCAACCCGCCCATTTGACACCCCTAGTCGGAATTTTAGTTCCATGTAAAGAATTATTAATTGAATAAATACCGATGATTATGTTATTATTGTTTTCTTTTTTATTTGATGAAATTTGCTCGGTCGTTCATACAGCGGGTAACACGAGTTCCCTGGCTTCTTGATTTTTGCTTTTTGAGATAGAAAAAAAATTCATACTCTGGGCAAGAATTTGGATACCTCCTGCAACTTCAGATTCTAAATTTTGATGGATAAAATTTATTTGAAATGACATAATGCATTATTACCTAATACAATAATCGAGACATATGAATTAATGAAAATATCACCATCTTTTATAAAATAATCGAGGTATGTATAACTTAATTTGGATACCATACACATACAAATAAGTGAACGTTTTTCATGGGTTACAGAAAATAAAGATTTTCACGGAACACTTTGTTGAACGACACATTATGTCAATCATGTAGATTTTGATGAACAATCACCCGTAACGCCTATTAATTACGGAGAGAGTCTGCTAAGACCAGCTCCGTCTGCGTAATTTTTTTGGATTTCCACGACCTCATGGATGGATAAGTAAAAATAGCATGGTCTAGTCAGTTTTTGGACTGGTCATTCAAAAATAGTCAGCGTTTATCAAGTCAATGAAAAATAGCCACTATTTTGCTGCAACAGAGACCGGTCCAGCATAATATACTGGAGTTCGGTGCACCTGTGTATGAACTTCCAGCATATTATGCTGGAACTCCAACACACGGAAAGTTCCAACATAATATACTGGAGATTCGAGCACCTGTGTATGAACTTCCAGCATATTATACTGGACCGGTATACTTTGCTGGAACTCCAGTATATTATGCTGGAGTTCTAGTGTACTTATGCTGGAACTCCATCATATCATGCTGGAGTTCCAGCATACTTATCCTGGAACTCCAGTATAATATGTTGGAGTTCAAGTATACTTATGCTGGAACTCCATCATAATATACTGGAGTATTTTTCGGGTTTTGAACAGTGTTTTCGCTCAGATTTATCCTTACATGAAAAAGGGGCTAAATTTCGATTACTTTTGAAACTGGGCTATTTTTGAACGAACACTTGTAAATCTGGCTATTTTTCAATATCTTCCCATGGATAAGTGTATGAAGACGGGCCCAATGGAACCAAACTGCTTAGGCCTAAGAAAAAGTGTCCGAATTGATATTTGAGATTTTTTCCTTTCCTATACCATATATGAAACTTTATTACCAAAAATGTGCACAGTTTCTAATTTACCCGCCCTGTCCACATTTTTCCTACAATTATTGTACCATTCATTAAATACTAATTATTAGTAGCTGAATCTTCCTAATTAGGCGTGCTAAAATTCAGGAACAGAATCTTCTAATTGATTTAGCCACAAATCAAATCTGTTCAAAAGCTCAATTCGTCGAAATCAAATTTGTTCAAAAGCTCAGATCTGTTTCGATATTTTCGCTTAAGACACAAATCAAAAGCTCAGTTCGTCAAAATTAGAAGCTCAATTTCAAATTGTAGAATTCAGTTCTGCAAAAGCTCTGTTCGTCGACATTCTCTCTCTATTTCTCAATCGCAAATTTCAGTAATACAAAGCAAATGAAAAGAGAGCAGTAATTCCACCATTGACAGCCATTAAAAAGCTTGAAAGCTTTGAATTTAAATTTGGATTTTCAAAAATCATTATTTGTTTGGATTGGGTATTGTTGAAAATAATCGGGAATATGGTTTGGAGTTTATATTTCAATTTTGAGGGGTTTTGGTGAAGAATAGACTTGGTTTTAACTGAATTTCAGATTGAAACTCGAAGAAGAAGACGACATATTGCAGAAATTGTAGATAAATAGTAGATTATTTGTATTCTGATTGTAGATGCTTTATTTTCTGTTTTCACAAATAAAAAACGGCTAAAACTTCTATAAATCTTCTGAAAAAATACAATTATGTCAAAAATCACAATCATGCTACAATTGAATGGGAATTGGGATATAAAAATTCAATGTACCCAGTTTGTAGATATTTTGTAGATAAATTATAGATTATTTGTATTCTAATTGTAGATGCTTTATTTTCTGTTTTCACAAATCAAAAACGACTAAAACTTCTACAAATCTTCTGCAAAAAACGCAATTATGTCGAAAATCCCAATTAAACTACAATCGAATGGGAATTGGGATATTAAAATTCAATATGCCCAGTTTGTAGATATTTTGTAGGTGAATTGTAGATTATTTGTATTCTGGTTGTAGATGCATTGTTTTCTGTTTTCACAAATTCAAACCGACTAAAACTTCTGAAAAAACGCAATTATTGTGATAAAAATAAGAAATATTGCAATAGATTATAGCATTTGATATTGTTTGAGAATTGGGACTATGAAATTGATGGCATATGTCGTGTATGGACGTGTCCTATTGGAAATGAAACTAATTCACTATTTTTACCATTTGAAATTTGGTTTCGTTGAGAGAATTCGATTAATAAGTCGAAAATCACTTTTTTTTTATTTTTCTTAATTATTACGTCGAGAATTGGTAAATGGTACTTCGTAATATTATTATTCTTCATTGTACAAGTTGATAGTACCGTTATAGAAATATCCATTTTATAAGAACGTACAAGTTGCATGAGCTTCTGAGTCCCTCTCAAAAGCAAAGAACTGAACACTAGAGTTGCTCACCTAAAAACACCAAATCCTAACACCATCACGTGATCTCATCACAAAATCTTTCTGACAAATANGAGCTATCAGTTGGCTAGCCACGAGTATGATCTTAGGGAGATACGGTACCTTGAATTAAGGAGGGATATACGCTGCATTAATTGTACCCTTAAAATACACTATGGTATAGAATTGGTAATTTGGTATACTAAGTGTAATTAAGTCAAACCTTAAACATTGGGGTAATAAGGTTTCCTATGTGGTATAGGAATGTAAAAATTCCTTATATAATTATATAATATTAGTTAAAACAGCATCTTGGAGCATTAAGTGTTTTTCTATATATGTATTCCGATTTTATGATCAATAAAAGTATAAAATATAGTATTAATATTATTGTGAATATTTTCTCGTGTATGATGGTTGTGAATCTCTATGTACTATAATATTAAAATCAGAAGACCAATTAATGCTAATAAAATTTCCTGATTTTCGGACCCCTTATAAGTCAGTTTGCATCTTCTTTTCATATTCGGTAGTGAATTACATATTTCAGGTGACGTGGCAAGTTAGTCTTGTTTATTTTAAAGTTTTCCACAAGTCTCCTTCTCCCGATATAAGATTCTAATTCCTCAATCTAGATAATAGATTTATATTCTTAAAGAAATACTCGTGACACCTACCACCAGCAAATACAATTAATGGATTTATTGAATTAAGATTTTTTTAAGTTCTATACTAATCTACTTATTTTCACATTGAACATAAAACACCTATAGAGGAGAAAATCTCTGGGTAGTTCAATTGGTTAGTTATCTACTTTCATGTTATTGGTGAGGGTTTGATTCGCGACCTTATAATCCCCTCCCCGATTTTTTACCTCATATCGTCCCCTTAGTATGATGGTAGAGCCCTTTGGAAGAAGGATAGTTATATTATATAGAAGCGAGAAATCCCTATCCAAAATGATTTATCAAACCTATCCAAATATCAGACGTTAAGTCAGGAGTTTCGTTAAAAGTATTTAAGGATGTTCAAAATTTAATGTATATATAAAAAAAATATTTGACCTATATACATAATATAATTTTTCGTCAAAGAATGTTCAAGTGATCACTCTTCGGCAGCTGTAGCTAAATTTACTTTCACTAGAAGTCCAAAATGATCCAAGTGGTTATGGTACCAGTAACTAGCTTGTTCATAGACATTTCTTTCTTCTTTTAATATCTATATAAGAACAAGTTACATATTATGTCGGCTAAAAATAATGACATCTACAAGTCAAATATATAAAATAAATTATGTGTATTACTATATATTAATATAAATATACATTTCATCGGCTATTAGTTTTTTCAAATATAATAAAAGAGGAGACCATAATAATAACATAATCTACAAACGAAGAGACAAGACTCCCATTTCATTTGTAGGAACATATTTGCATTGATGCAATTACAGTTTTAATCGTCAACAAGAGGACTCCAAAACATAAGAGTAGCAATTTCACTCTTTTCAATTTCCTCACTCTCATATAGCATCACTTATTCATTGAGAAGTAAATAATTGACTTACTATAACAAGATGGCTATTTTTGTAAATAGTTATTTCATAGATTATTTTTCTCTGTCACAGACAGAAATACTAAGATCATCTAATTCACTAAATTCACCTAACAAAAATCCATAATTATCAATAACTGGAACCCCTAATTTCACAGAAATATAAACTTCTTTATCATCTGAAATTTGGATCCACTGCCCCATCAACAATTCTTCATCACTATTATTCCCAATTTCTTGTTCTTCCCTTGCACTAGAATTATTGCTTTTTTCCTCAACCCCATTTGATGAATCTGAAGTCTGAGTCTCAATTTCAGATTTTTCAAAAATGGCCATTTTTGCAATTTTAGCCTCCTTCATTTTTTCCTCAAACTCAAGTTTCTTAGACTGGTAAACTTGAATAGCCTCTTCAGCAGTAATAAAAGTACCCAACCAAATTCTTTTCTTGTTAAATGGGTTTCTAATTTCAGCACAATATTTTCCCCATTTTCTTTTACGAACCCCAGATGGCAATTTGCTAGAAAAAGTTGTAGTCTTTACTTTACCTTGAAAAATTTCATGAACAGTGAGCTTTGGCTTCTTTTTTGATGGTCTCTTTCCTTGCTCCTCTTCTTCTGAAGATGATGATTCTGTAGCATCTGGATCTGAGATTTTTATTTTTATTTTTCTTTGAATTTTGATTGGTTGTTCTTCTTCTTGTTGTTTTTCATTCTTTTTTTCTGCAAATTTGGTTTGCGATTTCATTATCAAAGGGTGAAAAGAGAAAGAAGAATTAGGTCATAAGAGAGATGAGAAGACACATAGGTATAGGTCAAGGTGTTGAGGTATAAAAGTATTTATAGGAATAATCATATTTGTAGTACAAAAAATTATGTAAAAGTCCACGAAATAAGGTAAAGACAAAGAATACGAGGCTGTTTGGTTAAATTTATAAGTTGGTATAAGTGCTTTTACTTTTGACGTATTTATGTGTTTGATAAATATCCAAAATACTTATAAGCTAAAATCAGCATGTCATATGGCTGTCCAACGGGACGGGCCGGCCCGTCCCGTCCCGCGACCCGTCCCGGTCCTGTCCCGTCCCGCTAAAAATTAAATGGAATGGGCCAATGTTACGCGGGACACGGGACGGGACGGGACGGGACGCCCGTTTCGTCCCGTTTGTCCCGTCCCGTTTCGTCCCGCTTCGTCCCGTCCCGTCCCGCCTGTTTTTTTTTTATTTATTTAAAACTA